GAGCTGGCCACGGTGTCCGCCACGCCCGAGCGGCAGACCCTCGTGAGCCTGGCTCAGCCCACGCCCAAGGTCAGGGGCCTTGCGTGGAGTCCCGGGAAGCGTGGAGGGAGGAGACAGGGGCACCTCTTCCTTCTGCACTGGAGTGGGGACAGGCCAAAGACGGGGCGACCTCGCAGGATACTGGCAGAGCCCTGCAGGGGGCTCTGGGCCTTTTTGCTCTTCTCCGTGGAGCCAGGGTTGCTCACACTTGAGTGTGCAGTACAGTCACTCTCTGAGTTGCTACGGATGTGGACTCCCCGCACCACCCCGCCCCCCAGAGGCCTTTTCAGCCCGTTTGATGTAGGGCGGGGGAGGGAGGCTGCACCTTTGGAAACTGCCCTGGTGCGGAGCCCCCAGTCTGAGCGGAGCAGGCCGCCTAGGGAGTCCCCTTCAGGTCAGAAGAGTGGACATTTGTTTTGAGAAGGAGGAGAAGAGTCCTTGAGTTGCAAATATTAGGGGTCTATTGTCTTGGGCAAAGCGGTGGGTCTCTAACCTAAGAGAGGAATGTGGAACTCACCGGGTTGGACAGCTTGGGGAACCTGACATTTGCCAGTCTCCTCTCACTCTTCTCTGAGCCTCATGGATGGATTTACACCAGGCCCTCTACTGGCAGGGACACAGCCAGAACCACCTCAAAAGGCTGCCACCTAGGGACTACCCTTCAGGCGTCCAGCTGGTACCTACCCACAGCTCCCACTCCAGGCCAAGAAGGGATCTGGGTTTCCCCCAGAGGAGGGCCAGCTGCAGCCCCACACGCAGGGAAACAGACACCTGGGCACACACGCACGCACAATATTTAATATTGCTTCCTTAGCCTTGATGTGTATAATAGGCTTGGGAAAGTAGTGTTATGAATATGTTGTCAGTTATGAATGGGAATGCTCCGTGAATGATTAAGATGTCTAATTGAAATATTTCCATAATATACTAATCCTTTCTAAAAATACTCACATGCATATTTGTGTTTGGGATGCCTATTAATTTGTACTTTTTTCACATCTATTTTTATGTACACAAATGTGAGCAGCTCTTATCTAAATTGGGAGACAGGCCTGGCACTTGGCTCAGCCCAAGGAAAATTTGCTGTAGGGGATAAAAAGCCAGATGCCCCTCGGGAAGGAACAGGCCCACAGAGTGGAAATGGGTCTCTCCCAACAATTTCCCGAACTCTATAGAGAGGATGTTTGGTTTTTATGCCCGTATGGCAACTGCCCATTTAAGCAGAACATCCAAGTTCCTATCTCCTTCTCGGTTCTAATTAGAAAACTAAAAAGTTGGCTCTCCTTGCAAAGCTGTGGTTTCCTCACTCCCTGGTCTCTCTGTTTCTCCCCACCCAGTACCCCCATGAGGTGAATGGGGCCCCCATGTATCTCTATGAAGTGGCCACAGAGTCAGTGTGTGAATCCGCTGCCAGGCTTCTCTTTATGAGCATCAAGTGGGCGAAGAGCGTACCAGCTTTCTCCACCCTGTCTTTGCAAGACCAGGTATGACCAAGAGGGCCAGAGGTCTTGAGGGAAGGGAGCTGGGAAGAAGCAACAGGAGTCAGCCTTATGGAACTGTAGGTTACCTGGATAAATCGCCAAGGTTTTATATAATTGATTTCAGAGAGGAAGGGAGAGAGATAGATAGAAACATCAATGATGAGAGAGAATCATTGATTGGCTGCCTTCTGCACGCCCCCTACTTGAGGAGATCAAGCCCGCAACCTGGGCATGTGCCCTTGGCCAGAATCGAACCTGGGACCCTTTAGTCCGCAGGCTCTATCCACTGAGCCAAACCGACTAGGGCAAGGCATCAGTTCTTAACAGCAACGAGGAATCTATCTTTACTAGCTTCTTTCTATGGGTTCAGAATATCTAGCGACGGACCTTACTAAGAAATGTAATTATGTTGTTTTGGGAACTTCGGATCTGGTTTACGAAAAACAAGCAAACAAGAGCATTATTTTTTTTATTTTAATCAAAACTTCAAATTTAATCACAAATTCTTAAAGACTTTTTAAAAATTGTTAAAAACAGTGCTTTCTTAGAACACTGGAACTGAGAGAAATAGAAGAGTATCCTCCTCTTAAGATTTTTGGAGCTAGTCTCACTATTCTATATGCAGAACTTTATGTTTTTCATCGTGATAGAGCTGGGGCCACTAATTTATCAGCATATAAGGTTAAAGGGTGTGTTGCAGGCTAAGTTCTCTCTAGATTCTTTAAGTCTTTTAGAGATTTTGTTAAAAAAAATGGGCATTGTGCATAATTCTGTGGTTGTAAATGATATTCTGAGGCAATAAAAGTTTGTGCTTGCTAAAAACTGTGTTGTACCAAAACCCAGAAATTTTGTTGTTAGGAACATCAGAAATGGCCTCTGCCAGGATTTTTCTAAACTTAAGGGAAAGGAAGAGAATGAAGTGTTCACAACCTTGACTGTTACCAGTGCATTCTTGGGAATTAATGACAAATTTCCCAAAAGGCTAATACGTAGTTCTAAAAGCAAAGGGTTTATTTCTTTAATTCATCTTATACCTAATTAAAGAATAATAGGGCCCCTTCATATGAAGTACATTTCCTACAGAAAGGCCTGGCAATGTGCTAAAAACATCTAATCTTCTAGCATGGAATGTTCTTTTTTTCATGGCCTGGACTTTCAGACATGGCCAGAATTAGATACTGTTTACCTTGCATTTTTTAAATATCCTTTTTTGTACTTAATGTAATAAAAATAAAGGATTTTGAAAATTCAATCTTTTGATTTTGGTTACAAGCCTTCACAATTTAGCTCTTAGCTTCTGAAAGGAAATCCTTCCATATAAATCATCCAGAATTGGTTGAATTTTTATAGATTTTTCAAAAAACAGATTTTTCAAGATGGTTAAGTTCTATCTTTGACCAGGTTAACTGGTTGGCTCTGATCATTTGCCGTGTGTGTGTGTGTGTGTGTGTGTGTGTGTGTGAATTGGCTATTTTTTTTTCCTTAAAACAAGTATTTGTAGACTCTGTAATTCAAACAAAATTTATTTATGGTCTGCTACTCAACCCTTCGATGGAAACCCTTCAACAACTAGCAAACTGCAGTGAAGTGGAATCCAGTATATTCATTTGGAAAAGGAGCCAGATTTTCATTTTAAATATTCAGAAGCACATTTTATTAGAATGAAAATGACAAGCACCTTGATGCTGTCCACTTATGAGTCTCAGAAAAATCAGTCAGTGAGATGAGGTAAACTCAGTAAAACCCGATTAACATAATTACACCCTGATTTCCCTGCATGCCTCTTGGGATTTAGTGAGATCTCTCTCTCTCTCTCTCTCTCTCTCTGCCCAGCCCCCTATACCCACCAGGATGATGGGGGCCCAGATCTGCAAGCTTACTCTGGAATCTTCAACCCTGATAATATCAGCGTTTTATAGGCGGGGTATCCACCTGCTGAGCGGCTGGTGGCATTTCATTGAGACTGGGTCTCTGGGAGAAGCTTCTAGGTGGTCAGAAACACATAGATGGGAGGACCAGAAGGGTAAACCCTTTCCCAAGGGGAGCAAATTTTGGGAGCTTAGAATGGCTGACTCTCAAATGCCTGTGCTTATCTATAGGCACCTTTTGAAAAAGGAAAACAAGGGAAAGATAAAATATTCAGAGGAAAAATTACCAAGACAAGCATTTAAAACACTTTTTAAAATAATGGAAATTTACATATTGAAATTGTTTATAAATTTATAAATTACACACTATATTATATTATACATCTATTGTATGACAGCTGATGCTTTTGGAAGATGCTTGGAGAGAACTGTTTGTTCTAGGAATAGCACAATGGGCCATTCCGGTTGATGCTAACACTCTACTGGCTGTATCTGGTAAGAATTGCACAATTTAATGACTTTGTTGTAGAAATTACCATAAAAATACATTACTGAAAAAAGAACAACATGTAAAGAATAACAAATTCCCACTGAACAATAGAGTATACCTGTCATTTATAAATCTATATTTAAATGCAAATAATGTTGTTTTGTTGTATTCATGACTGCTTGCATTGTTATTTAAATGCAAATTACTGTGTTTGTTATCATCCAAGAGACGATTTTATATTAACTTTCATACAATATAGCCAGTGTACATGGAATCAGATATCTTAGACTGACAATTGAATAGATATTGATATGCAGGATTTTGTCAAAAATCAATATTAAATTATGAAAATGCCTTCATATGATAGCATTTATTCCATGTTTTAATTCTAGGCATGAATGGTGACAACACAGATTCCCAGAAGCTGAACAAGATTATATCTGAAATACAGGCTTTACAAGAGGTGGTGGCTCGGTTTAGACAACTCCGGTTAGATGCTACTGAATTTGCCTGTCTGAAATGCATCGTCACTTTCAAAGCTGGTAAGTGGACACAAACCCCTGCCTCTCCTTCCCCACTTTTGCCACATCACTAATTCAGCCACCTCAAATTCCAGATTTACCTTTGCAAAAACAAGTGATAGTTTTGAAGGGTGCTGAGACTCTTAGTCTGGCCTCATTTTGATAGCCATGGGGACTTGTGCGTTCTCCTGCTGGCTATTCACTTCAGGGAGATTTCCCATCTGCATTTCCTGTGCTGTCTATCACCGTTTCCTGGTCTTCATTTCTAGTTCCTACACATAGTGGTTCTGAACTGAGAAGTTTCCGGAATGCTGCTGCCATTGCAGCTCTTCAAGACGAGGCTCAGCTAACTCTCAACAGCTACATCCATACCAGGTGACTCTTGCTTGCCCTGAAGGTGTCCTTAAGAATATTGTTCCCATTGTGAATGTGTGAGCAGGGGGTAATAAGCCAGTTCAAACTTCCTGACTAATTATTCTGTTGCCAGCCAATAAAGTTACTTAGAATTATGTGCTCACCTATATCACATGGTGTGTGAGAGGAGCAAATAAAATTAGATTAGCAATTAGATTGCCAGATGCCTTGCAGCTGACCTGGTTGAACAAGTTAATCCATCATAATAGTTGAACACATTTGTATGAATGGACCCAGATGTGGGAAAGGTAAAAACGAAGGCCAAGTGTTACAGTTGATATAGTAGAGAGTAGTGAAGTCATCCTTTAAAAAGAGGCAAGTGCCTTTCTTTGGATGCCAATCCCACATAGAAGGATCAGAGAACTTTCTAGAGAGGCCATCTGTACCCCCATCATAACTGCTGATGGATATCTGTTGAGTTACTTGGAGTCATTGCACGCACCAGGTTATGTCTGGCCAAGCAGGACCCATTGGCAGAGGCCGCTCTATTTGTAGAAACTCTCAGTCACAGGGGCTTCAGCAGGCCTCCTCCTGGCCCACCGATGGGGAAGTCCTCCAGGAGGTATAGACCTTTCTGCTTCCATTTTCAGAGGGAAAAGGCAAGACTTTAAAGAGCTGTGGAGCTGGCTAGGTCTGTGGTGGACGTGAGGTTAGAACAGAGTTGCTATTCTTGTTTATTCTTCAGGCTGGCTGGCTTATTTATTTATTTATTTATTTACTTATTTGCGGTTATTAGGGCCAAATGATTGCTATGTAGAGAGAATGGGAATTTTAGGCCTGGAGGGAGGAAAGAGGCGAAGAGAGAGAGAACGAGAAAGCTGGTCTTAAAGGGAAGCCCATGGAAGCCTGTGTCTATCATCCCAATATCACCACAGACACTGTGCTGGAATAACTTAATCAGATGAAGGAAGACTGTTAATGCCTCCCTTATACTGTATCCATTTGGAGTAATACCACTTCTGCTAGGATCTTCTTATTTTTATTACAAATCCTCTTTTGAATTCTATTGAATAAAACCGTTCGCTGTCCATGGAATATCATTGAAACTGTGTTGTGTGCTGATGCAATGTGTATATGTTTTTCTAAATTAAAGTGCCATGGTTTTTAAATTTAAAATCCATGTTAAATTTCAATATGTATATAATAGGCACTGAATATTTATTCAAAATTATTGAATGAAGGAGTACATAATTTCCCCACTAAAAATTAATTTGTATATTAGAACTGACCGCTGACATTTAGAGCCGTTAAGGTTTAAGGAACATCAAACCAAGAAGAATATGATTTCAGTCCAGCCTTCGCTGGTGAGCACTGTGGGACACCAGAGAACAAGACACTGTCCCTTATTGGTGCATGAAGTAGGTAGAAGTATTACTCCAATTCAGACCAGAGAAGAGAGAAAAGCAAAGTGGGGAGTGAGAGAGACAAATTCTAGTTGGGGGAGGCGGGGTGAGGGAGAATCTGGAAAGGCTGATTGATGGAGGGGACCACACAGGAGCTGGTGTCCTTGAATGGCAGGGAGGAAGGGTACTCCTTAGAGCTGGTAGAGGGGCTGGTAAAGGGAGGTGCCGGAGAGGTGATTGAGGAGAATCTGAGAGAGAGAAAGCCTGAGGAAATTAAACCACAAATTGACAAAAGTCTATTTTAAAGAAATGGCAAGTATACTACTTCTCCCTCACCCTCAAAACAAGGAAATTATTCATGGAAGGAACTCATCTGCTTTGACATGGAATTCTTGTTTCATGATATCTGCCACAGCTATAATTTAATATATTAAGATCTAGAGTCAGACTCATGCATGTGACAAAACTGAGTATGCCTTATTTCTTAGCTCCTTCAAATCAGGATCATTTTCCTATAGCACTTTCCTGTCTAGAAAAATAAAATCTGAAATCAAAATGAAAAGTTAACACAGTGAACAACTAATAGTCAACATTGCAAACTGAGCTCATTGTTATAGCCGTGTGAGCTATTTCTCTAATTATCTGTTATATAAGGAGAAGGCTTGGAATAAGCGTTTCACACAAACCATATGTTATCACTGAAGATCAAATACATGGATCTTTGACAGGCTCAAAACACTTACACCTGAGTAAAAACTTCCAGTTATTTTTACTAATGGATGATACGAGGGTCATAGCTATTCTAAAATATTAATTTTGAGCAGTCAGACATATGCTCTCTCACACATGCACATATACACATATACACACTTTGTTATTATTTCTCGGTAGTACCATACTTCACATATAATAGACAATTCTTGTTGACTGACTAACCAACCCCTTCTTAACTAGAGAATAAAATAAGTGGGTGAGAAGGTGAATGTATTATTTATTTACCAAAAATCAAGACTTGTCTATGGATTCTCCAAAATCCATCCTTTTTCAAAGTAATCACTTCCCCCAGTGGTTTCTCACACTGGAACCTTTTAGCCCAGCAGTTCTCAACCTGTGGGTCGCGACCCCTTTGGCAGTCGAACGACCCTTTCAAGGGGTCGCCTAAGACCATCCTGCATATCAGATATTTACATTACGATTCATAACAGTAACAACATTACAGTTATGAAGTAGCAACGAAAATAATTTTATGGTTGGGTCACAACATGAGGAACTGTATTTAAAGGGCCAGAAGGTTGAGAACCACTGTTCTAGCCCATTAGGTCAATGCAGCAGACGTGGTAGGGACTCAGCTGTGTCCCACCCATTGCAGGTTTCTCTCTCCTCTGTCCGATCCTGGGATGGGAAACAAAGCTATTGACAAGAGTAAGTGGCCAAGGTGAAAGGGAGACCTGGGTCTTGGGATTTCTTTCCAGGAAATGTAGGAGGAGCTGTTAGCAAGGAGAGCAAGTGGTGGGATTTAGGCCTTTAAGAAAATGCAGATAAGCTTCACCATTTCCATACTGCATTAGTCAGTGTGGGGTGGTGATTCCCATCCATGGGTGCACAGGAAGCTGGGTAGTCAAAGAACCAAATGAGGCTCTTAGAGGCCCAGAATGATTTATCAGCCTCGTATCAGGTTGAAGAGAGGGACTTTCATGTCTCAAAGCCAGGAGACAAGAGGGACGGTTGCTGTCCTGGATTTTATTTGCAGGGTGGGGTTATTGGGTAGTTAAACTCAGTGTTCAGCCACCTGACTCTTGGGAAGGAATTTTGATGTCCGTCAGTTCCTAGCACTTTGTGGCTATTGGTGGAGCCTGGCTCAGTCACAGGTATGTGACCCCAGACCTCGGTCTTTTAGGTGGTTTGTTTCAGTGGAAGGAGCCCTCCCTGGGGAGTGTATGGATACCTGATTCCAAGCAACTGACTAAAGAAGCATCAGGGCTACCGTGAGGAGGTGGCTTACAGGCATCTGAAGGCAGTAGGAAATGAAATGTGCACATCTGAACACAGATGTATGTTGGACATTAAGAGAGGAAATTGTTAAGCAATTTCCCACATCTTTAATTATATGTCAATTTCATTGACATGAAAGTTGGGTGGCACTGCCACCCAACAGAACTTAGCCTTCAATTTGCAGTGTAATAAGGATGGAATTATTCCTGAAAGTGACTAAGTATAATGCCTGAATAATAATTTGGAGAATTTCCTAGAAAAGGAATCCATTTTATTTGAGGGAAATTGCCTTGCAAAGGAAGAAACCTTGACAATCAGAAAACATGGATACTACCACTAGCTACTGCACTAGCACCCTTATATTTATTGACTAGCCTAAACTTAGTACCTTGTTTCTTCATTTTTCCCCCTCCAAACCAAATGTAACCCCTTTGCTAATGTCGAGACAGCCACCATGTGATTTTTGACACCGTGTGTTCTCCAGGCCTGGACACCTCTGGCTGTAGAACCAGGACCATAAGTAGGGCCCGAGTCCCAGACTCGGCTGCAGGGGCAGTGTGTTATTCATGAGGCCCAGTCAGGAAACTATGCTGGAGATGGTGTGTGCTTAAGTATGAGCTATTAATTCCCAGCGGTAATGGATCTGACCTTGCTTTCACGGCTCCTCCTATTCCAGATATCCCACTCAACCCTGTCGCTTTGGAAAGCTTCTGTTGCTTTTGCCAGCTTTACGTTCGATTAGCCCATCAACCATAGAAGAAGTGTTTTTCAAAAAAACCATCGGCAATGTGCCAATTACAAGACTGCTTTCAGATATGTACAAATCCAGTGATATCTAAGCTCTTCAAGTTCCCACTTTCCAGTATGGGATAGTCTCTGATGAACTTCCATCCACGGAGAACACGCTTCAACTAACCAACCCTTCGGGAAGCATATATCTGGGGGTGTGGAGCCTTCCGGAGAAGACATCCATGGACACAACAGTTTCAGCAGCTTTGACCTGCTGCTGCCTCATCCAGGGCAGGGCAGCCCAGAAGGACGGCCTGAGCAGAGAACTCGCTGCTGCCACGCCCTGGGAGGGCACACATGGAGGGTTGCCACTGGCCGTGCCACTCTGCTGGAAGATCCGTCTGAACTATCAAACACTGAAACACGAGTAGAACTTCCTTTTCGTTTTTAGTGTATAAAGTTGGGTAACCAAATAGAGCTCTGTGTATAACACCATGCAGCAGCCTTGAGAACTATCTTATGAACTAGACTTTATTGTAAAAACAATGGTTAGGTTTAAAATAAAAAAAGTTTTATCAAAATTTTCCCATCTATTGTAATACATCATTAAGTGGCCTTCAGAACTGAGTTAATAAGTGAAAGGTAGATTATGCCGTGAGATTTGCTTTTTCTCTATCTTTTTTTCCTTTCTCTTTCTTTTCTTCTTCTTTTTAATACCATAGGCCAGGCAACCTTGTCAAAGGATTGGTGGACGAAAATGAAATTCTCACCAGAACTTCAGTTTGGATAACATCTCAAAAATAGAAGAGCTTTACTAAAAAAACAAGAGTCGAGGGAGGAAGACTAAAAACAGCAAAACCAAATAAAGCGGAGGTGAAAGATTGAGGCAGATTGCTGTCCCATGAAAATAGTGCTGAAACCAAAGGCAATGAGGGTCCAAGCTCGTGTTTCAGTGAATCACATCAGACAGGAAACCAACACAGATGTGATGTTGAATGGAACGTCAAAGAGATGAGCACTAAGAGGTTTCTCGATTGATCCACTGCTAACAGCCTGAGACTCTTAAATGCCTTTCAGAAAACTGGTTTCTAGTAAAGCCTTGAATGTGTGTGTGCATGCACACATACACACGCACACCACTACCACCACCACCACCACCACCACACACCCCATTCTACATTGTAAGCTGCTCCTTTGGTATGAAACTATACTTATGAAAATGTAGAAACAAACATTTTAAAATAGCTGCTGTACTTTTCACATTTTGATTTAGTAGTTTCTAGCACTGAGGAAAACTATTCAGCACTTGGACTATCATAGGTTGAGTAAAACTTTTCTTGTACAAAGTGAATTAACTGATTTGTGAAGTTAAAAGGTTGTACTTCATTGTATTTACAAAGAATAAAAATATATTGAATCTAAATGAATTTGAACTCTGCCTGGTTTCTTAGCCTCCTTCCCTGGCTGGTTCTCACCCACCAGATACAAGGTGGTGGCAGCAGCTGGTGTAAAAACTGAAGCTCAGAGCACTCCAGCCTGAAGAACTGAACTACAAAGGCAATTTCCTTTTTACAGTGAATCCCATTTGTAAAATGATGAATAAAGAAATAAAACAAGATTCCATTCTCTGCAGCTCTCAAATATAATTGCATCTGTTAGAAAAATTGCTGTGTGAGGAAGAAAGAGGACGATTAACAGAGTCTTCATTCACTTACTCCTCTGTTTCTAACTCTCTTGCCAACATCTCAATCCTAACCAGGAACTTAAAATCATTTAATGATCAAAAGATAAAGTGTGAAGAACTTTATTGGGGAGTAAGATGTAGAAGGAGCAGTAGAAAGTGCATTCAGATGTTACCAGGAAATCTCAGGGCACTGGCCCCACGGCCAGAGGTTGGTAGTGGAAGTCAGAAGTGCCAAGGCCACGGACACTGTGGGTTCCTCCTGGGGAGCAGCTCCAGCGAGAGTCTGGAGCAGAGGCACGAGCAACTGTTGGCTAAACTGACCTTGCAGATTGCATGTGTGGAAGTTCAGTCAGCCATGTACCTCTCGTCTACTGATTCCACAGAGAAGTTAGTCTTAACGAAAAGCCAGGAACTCAAAGATATGTGCAAGAATGTTCCTTGCAATACTATTCATATTTAACCACTAAATGCCCACCAACGGAGAATAGATAGATTGCAGTATATATAGACAGTGTTACAGTAGTTAAAGTGAATAGACTAGAGCCAACATGTCAACGGGGGTAAATCTAAAATACAGTGTTTTGGTTGGGTGAGAAGTGAATTGCAGAGGATACATGCAGCTTGGTATTTCTATAAATAGATCATGTTTATCTATAATAATAAAAGCATAATATGCTAATTAGACCAGACATCCTTCTGGATGACCTTCTGGATGAAGCCCGGACTGCGAGGGAAGCCTGGGTCCCGGTGCCAGAGGGTAGCAGGTGCCGGCAGCTGGGGGAAGGAAGGCCTACTCTTGCACCAGTTTCGTGCATCGGGCCTCTAGTAGATATATAAATATAAAGCAAATGTTTAAAACGAACATGAGTATAACACTAACTGCATGAGAGTGGTTACCTCTGGGGATGGGTGGGATTGGGGAAGGGTACCAAGAGAACCCTCAAATGTTTCTGAAATGGCTTATTTTATAAGATAGTAAAAGACCAGAAACACATAGGAGATCGATGATAAGATTTGATAAAGCTGAGTGATGGATCCAAGGCTGTTCACCCATGTATTAGTCAAGTTTTGCTTCAACGTGCCGGAAATGCAACAACAAATTTGTATTTCTTGCTTACGGGAGTCTCCAGAGTCTCAGCCGGGCCTGGCTCCAGGTTGCGGTTTGGGTTCAAGTGTGCTCCAGTGTTTTGTCATTCTTGACTGACAGCTTTCCTAAAGCAACAACTGTGCCTGACAGAATGCAGAAGTGCAAGAGGCCGAGCCAATCCAGGCACACTCATTTAAAGCTGCTGTTTATGTCACACTGGTCACTTTCCACTGGCCAAAGCCAGATACACGGCCAAACCCAACCTCAAGTGGGCAGGGACGTGGACTCCTCTCATGAAGGAGGGGAAGGGGGACTACCACTGACCTATAATGAAATTTGTCACAATCATAATCCACTTTCATCTATTTTAAATATTCTTAGTAAAATTAAAAGGGAGTAAGCTTCCTGGGACACACCACAAATACTGGTTCCCACTGGAGTTGCCTTTTCTTTGGGCATCTCAGCCATTACAAATAAGAATCAAGCATGGCTTGCATTTGAAAAACCCAGAATTAAAAGCCCAATAGCTGTCTCTCCTGAGATTTGGGAGTTTCTGCCGGATGCAGCCTGGGTATTTTAAGAACCTCACTGCTTGCCTGGATGTTAAGGCCGGTATGGTGGGGGTGCCACAGTGGTCTTTGAATATATAAATTCAAGATATACAGTTCCAATATATGCAACTTGAATATACAAACAAGAGGAGCTGAACCCAGCCAATGGATTACTGTGGTCAAAAACCAGTCATTAGTGCTTCTCCTTGGACAAATGGTTTTCCCAAGTCTGGAAGAATTGCTTTTCAAAGATATCATTTACATCCTGGGACAACTAGGGATGGAGTCTTACATTTGTTTTCAGTTACTTTTTAGTTATTGTTTGATGCTAGGGAAGAAAAAGAACAGAGGATGAGTTCAGAAACTGAATTGAGACTCCCAGATTATTTCATTCAGAGTTCAAAGTTTATAATCCACTTTAGGAATCCAAGAACTGAACCCATTGGCCAGAGACCTCCTCTGTGGTTGCCATTCTTCATCATTTATATAAAAATGAAAATCTTCTATTTTTTTGCAAGTTATTTTCGTGTGTTAGTGTCTCTCCTGGTAGTACATATGACCATGACTCATTCTTTTTAACGTCTCCCTAGTATTTCATGTTATGGATGATCTACAGTGTGCTCAACTAATTCCTTATTGATAGATTGAGGTTGCTTGCAGTGTTTCACTAATAAATTAAACTGTAAAGAACCACCCTTCAGTACACACTTCTGTGGTCTTGAGAGGGTATTTGCATTTCTGTGTCACAGATTATATGCATTTTTTAATTTTTAAAAAATATGTCTTTATCGATTTTTAGAAAGAGAGAGGGAGAGATGGAAACACTGATGAAAGAGAAACATCAATTGGCTGCCTCCTGCATGGCCCCCACCAGGGATAGAGCCGGCAACCTGGGCATGTGCCCTGACCAGAGAATGGAACCAGAGACCTTTTGGTGCATGGGGTCGACGCTCAACTGCTGAGCCACATTGGCCGGGCTGTGTTTTTAATTTTTATACATATGGCCAAATGGCTCTCCAAAAGGGTTGCATCAATTTGCACTCCTGCCAAGAGGGTATGAGAGGAACCATCTCATTGCTCAGAATTTAAAAGTGCTTAATCAGACACAGGCTTGATGAACACTTCAGAGGCTGTTAGAAAAATACAGAGGATGCATATGTTTCTATTATGAATATGCCTCTGCTACAATGCTTACTGGACTGGGTAAGTAGGTCTCACACTGTATCCATGGTTTAGAACTTGGTTCCCCAAATTTTTCAGTCCAGGCCACTTCTGTGAACTTTTGGGAGTGCCCACGTCACAGTGAAGAGATAAATGAAAATGTAGAAGCAGTTGGCAGACACTTTCTTCTGCTAAGATGCTGCTCTAAGAATCTCAACCCACTCATTTTACAATAAAATTTTTATAATCACTTACAGAAATTGAAGAACAATAACTTTAACTGAATAACTCTAGTATCTTTACCATAAATGATGATTACATTTTATTTTTTGTTAATTTATTGGGGTGACATTGGTCAACATGAAGCAATTTTATTTTTCATGTATTTTGTTTTTTAAATCATGTTGTTGGATTTTTGAAGCTCATTTTGGAACCAGAAGTGACTTTCTTTCCTCCGAATATTGCTGACCAGCATTTGGACGGTTAGGAAGGGTCATCAGAGCTTTCAGCTGCCCACGCAGCTCATCAGCAGTGTGCAGAGGGCAGCCTCTCTGATGAGGAAGCCAGGATGTTGCCACATAGCCTGGCACCTTTCTGACGTGCCGAAGTGTTGCAATGCTCTGCTGGGAAAACGTGAGTAGGGTCACAGGTTTGACCCTCAGAGGAGCTGGGTGGCTTTATTGTGCCCTGGTATCTCTCATAACTGTGGATCGTTATGTCCCAGGACACCGAAAGCTGGAGAACGGCTCCTGCTCCTGTCCCCCCGAGTGTCATCCAGGACATCTTCTTCGCCTGGCAGAGTGATGAGCCCAGTGGAAGGAGCACTGGCCAGGGTGAAGAGGCTGGGGCCCTAGCGATGATCACTGTGATAGGTCAGTTCATCTCTCTGCACCTCAGTGTTTTCATCTGTGCAAAGGAGCACTTGGCTCAGTGATGCCTAATTTCCCTCTTTCTCTTCTCATCATCATCATCTTGAAGTGGGGCAGCCAACCATGAGAACAAAGTCTCCTTGGTGGCAAGAACAAGTCAGATTAAGCGCATTTCCAAACGTGCAGAGCCCTGGCTTCTTGCCCCTACATCCTTTCATCTAGTCAAGCTGCTCAACCGCTTGAGCTGCACACACAGTCACCTGAGGAGCTTCCGCAACTCTCAGTGCGGAGGCTGCGTCCCAGACCCATTGCGGTGTCTCTGGGGCGGGGCCCAGACGCCAGTATTTGAAAGCCCCAAGATGCCTCCAGGATGCACCGAGGATAAGCATGCTACCTTGTGTGCAGGCTCCAGGATCGCCTGTGCCCCTCATCCCTCATGTCTGCTTGCTCTCCCCCTGCTCCCTGGTGACCTTTAAAGAAGTTAATTCTTTCCTTCTTTCCCTGCTCTGGCCTGTCATTGAACTCACCCAGCTGATTGTGGTGCTTATGATTGAGAACCTCTTCTGACCCTTTCCTTTCCCCAGAAATTAACGTGATCATTAAGGCTTATAATTTCACTCACCAGTGCGATCAATCAAGGAGCTGCGAAACAGAGTTAAGAGTCCTTTTGTAATTGGCAGCGGCCTGTGATTCAGAGCAGAGCCTCCAGGGTCTGTGGGGAGTTGGGGGGAGGGGAGGGCCGGGTGTGCAGGAAGGGGCTGTGCCCCTTGAACTGACTGTGAGCTCTTTATGGCCTGCTCCCCACAGGGACCAGCAAGCTCCCAGCCTGTCCACACTGAATGTCAAAAGGAGGAAGCCAGTTCTTGCCAGCAGTGCTGCGAGCTACTCCTTGCCCACCCCGAGCTCTCTGCAATGGAAAGTAAGGTCTCCTCAGAACCTGGAAGTGGG